TATATATATATATATAAAATGGTATTTTACAATGACATTATATATACATATAATGTCATTGTAAAATACCATTTTTTAAAAACTTTTATTTTGCTAGAAGGCAAGTACACTCACTGGAGAAAGGGAAAGTGAGAGAGCGCACCTTCATGGAAGATGGTCATGCCATAATCCTTTCTCCTCCTCCTCTTCCATTTCTCCTTTTGGGATTTTGGGCACGTGCACATGCACACAGTGTGTTTTTCAGGCCACTGGGTCTGGGACTCAACTCACACAGTCAGCCACATGGGATCCAGCATCCAGCTGCCTCACTCACTATGCCACTGACTGGTTCCTCCTTAATCTAATGGGTTTTACCTTGATTAAACTGTGTCTGTTACTGAAATCATACCCCATTTTCTTTGGGACAGCACTTGCTTTTCAGGGGTTGAAAGTGACTTGTTTTAGATGTAATTCTTTGATACAGCATATAGTTGGGTTCTGCTTTGTGATACCAATACTGAGTTTGTCCATGCTTTCTACTTATGTTTGCTTTTTTAAAAATCTTCACTAGATCTGTGTTTCCTTTGTGTTGTTTTGGTGCATATGCTCCTTTAGTTCATTTAGAAAAATTTTTATCCTAGGTTACTTTTATGACCATAACTTTGTAATCTTCTAATTTTAGTTAATATGTGTTAATTTTCTACCATGAGAAATGACAAAATGACTTTAGTTCATTGTTACTTTTGTTTTATTAGTTTTGTTTATCTACTTAAATATTTATTAAGCACCTACTAATCTTGAGGTACTATGCTAGACAGTAAAAAATCAATACTGAACATAACAGATGAAAAGATGTTGCCTTCCTGAGATTACATTCTAGTGCATCAGAATACATATTAAACCTCTGTATCAACCTGATTTATCCATAGTAAGTCATTTTGATTATACAAGAAGTGCCCATCCCAAATTATATTAACCCCATCTTCCTTCTTGAGTTGGTTAATCATTCACTTTTTTTTTCCCACTTAGTAAATAAGCTTAAAGGGCCTTTTTTTTTTTGAAACTGAGTACTGTGCACAAATTCAGCTATGTAAAATAGAAGTCCAGTGCTTCCACATTCTAACTTAGTATTCATTATCAAGTCCTCCTCACAATGGCATGTTTTACTTTTGATAACACCCTCTTTGTTTCTTTTAGATGAGTGATGTGTCTGCAGGAGGAGCCACTGTTTTTCCTGAAGTAGGAGCCAGTGTTTGGCCTAAAAAAGTAAGCTTTTTTTTTTTTTTTTTTTTTTTTTTTTTTTTGTCTTTTGATCTGTTTTTCTCCTGAGGAAGAGATGCACCTGTCTTTCATGGTCTAACAATTATGTTTTTTCAAAGGTCATATATTAAGGACTACATTAAGAATTATTGGGTCATCAGGAAAGTCATTTTTTGCATAGAAAAACATGTCAGCTTTCCTGATGACCTAATATTACGTTTTAGAGGTAATGTCTTCAGAATAGGGTTTTAAAGCCTATATGGAAAAAAAAAAACTATCTTTTTACAGCCTTAATTTTACAAGATTTCTCTGTAAAATACTTAAACATGTAAGGCTTTCATTATGGTGCTGTTTCTGATGTAATCAAATATATAATAAAACTTTCTGTTAACACATTAGAATAATTTTAGGGGCCAGCAGGTGACATGGTACTTGAGGTGCTAAATTCCCACATGGCTGATTGAGTCCTGGACCTGGTGGCTTGCTTTCTTACTTTCTCTCTCTTGTGAGAGCATGTGCCGTATAGCAAAATTTTAAAAATAATAATAAATGAATTCTTTACAAAAATTTAGAAGTATAAAAGTAACTTCTTCAGGGACCAGCAGTTAGCGTAATGGCTATGTCGCTGGACTCCCACGTAGTCGACCGCGGTTCGAGTCCCGGACCCGGTGGCTTAAACTCACGCTGGGCGCGTGTACATACGTGCCCAAGAGCCTGAGAGGAGAATGGAGAAGGGATTGCGGCGTGACCATCCCCCCTGGGGGGTGATTTCTCACTTTCTGTCTCTGTCTCTTTCTGTCTGTCTGGCGCGCGCACGCGCCCTACAGTGAAAATCTCTCCCAAAAAAAAAAAAAAAGTAACTTCTTCAGGGACCAGCAGTTAGCGTAATGGCTATGTCGCTGGACTCCCACGTAGTCGACCGCGGTTCGAGTCCCGGACCCGGTGGCTTAAACTCACGCTGGGCGCGTGTACATACGTGCCCAAGAGCCTGAGAGGAGAATGGAGAAGGGATTGCGGCGTGACCATCCCCCCTGGGGGGTGATTTCTCACTTTCTGTCTCTGTCTCTTTCTGTCTGTCTGGCGCGCGCACGCGCCCTACAGTGAAAATCTCTCCCAAAAAAAAAAAAAAAAAAAAGTAACTTCTTCAGATTAGACTTTTGAAGACTATTTAAAGGCCATAGAAAAAGACCGTTCTGCTTAACTTGCAACATTGCTAAGACTGCTCTGTAATATTAAAAGTTTTCATTTCTAAAATGGGTTCTGTATGATGTTTGCTCATCCACCTTGTTATTGTAAAATTCGTGAGTTTTATTTTGGCAAATACTGTTTTCTGTAAAGCAGATTTGTGGTATTTATCACATGATCAAGGAGTTTTTAAAGTGGTGTAATCAGATTTTCATTATTATTTTAGAGGAAAATAGAATGCTGCATAGAGGAAGAGTCGTCCTTGTAGAAACAGAGAAAAGTACTGCAGAAAATAATCATATTTATGGATAACTTTTAATTATTATTCTTAGGGAACTGCTGTTTTCTGGTATAACCTATTTGCCAGTGGAGAAGGAGATTATAGCACGCGGCACGCAGCCTGCCCAGTGTTAGTTGGAAACAAATGGGGTAAGTATTCTGTGAATAGAATGTGATTTTCATCTCATCTTTTGTAACTATTATAATTTAAATCTTAAAACAAAAACAGCACCCTGACTATCTAGTACAACTTGCATGGAATTTACATAGTCATCAAAATTCTGATCTGTTAAATGTATTCAATTTCCAAGTGTTACTACAAGAAACATTAATTTTCTCAAAATTGAATAAGGTAGTATCTTCTCCTTGAAGGGGTTCACAATTGGAGTAAGACATACAAATGAATGAATTATAGTGTAATATATATATACTTATACAAAGATGTAGTAGAATATAGTGATTCCCTAAGTTTGGGAAATCTTTTTCAAAGCTTAATTTTAAAATTAGGTTCTGAACATAGAACAGTTTTCCAGGCATGTTAGGGATCAGGGTAGCCAGTACTAGTTTGAGGCTAGAGCATTACCTAGGATACAGAATTTAAAGAGGTATCCAACTGTGCCACCTTTTTGCCAGCCCTACATTGTGCTGCTACTACCTCACACATACACTGTGCACCCCCTAGCCCCACATCTGGACCAGAGAGGTCAGGACAACATGGCCATTGACTGAAGGGTGGTCTGCCACCACCTAGTCTGTGGCCACTCCCCATAAGCAGCCCCTGGAGAGAGAGAAATCAGGTAGGATCTTCAGAGGGCAGGAGGCAGTTGGCAGGAACTCCTGTCAGTAGATTTCATGGCTTCTATCTCCGAAAGCAGAGAGGCACCAACCACTTGAAGTTGGTGAGGCTCTGGAGGAATTTCCCCCTTCCCAGTTTCTCTTCCTTTGAACCCCAGACTACTACCATGGACTCTAGCAATCCCACTCATGTAAGAACAAAGAGGGGCCAGCAGGTGGCATGGTGGTTAAGGGCGCTAGACTTCTACATAGCCAACTGTGGTTCGAGTCTTGGACCTGCAGACTTGCTTTCTCACTTTCCTTCTCTCTCTCACTCTCCCTCTGTCCCTCTCTGGTCAAATTAAAATAAATAAATATATGAATCAATAAAGTTAGATAAAATAATTCTTTAAAAAAAAAAGAACAAAGAAAATGGCACAGAGCTACCACATATCATAGGGAAGTGAAAGAGGAACCAGCTTCAGAGGGAAAAAAAAGTTGAACTTCCCTCCTCAAGCTGACAAGAGCTACCTACACCTTATTGCAGTCTGATAAGCAGGTGGAGCTCTGTCTACTGATTTACACAGACTCGAAGGAGCAGAAGACTCAAATATGTCATAACTTTCTTGACGAGCTAAGAGAGACTGTGGAATTTGGACACTACTTCCTGTCTGGCAGGGAAGGCAGGCTTGCACTTTCCCTCCAGATAGTCTCAAATCCAAGAGGATGGTTACTTGATTAATCTGATTCATCAGATCCTATAAATGTCACTGAACTGTATCACATATAGGCTGTACAAGCCCTGCTCTGATCTGGAAGACAGTTCTTTGCCAGGACCTGGGACTATCCCCCTACCCCAAAATGAAGAACCTACTCCAAAAATAAGAAGTGACGACTTTGCCTGATGTCTGAAGCTAGCACAGAGACAGAAGAAATATAAGAATAAAAGAAAATAATTCTGCCCCAAAGAAACACAATAACTCTGTACCAACAGTGGACAAAAGAATTCACAGAAATATCAGAATTTAGAATATCCATTATGACAAAACTTAATGAAATACAAGAGAATATGGATGATCAATTCCAGGAGATAAGAAAATCATTGTATGAAATGAAGGATGAATTTCACATAGATGCCCTAAGAAAGAATCAAACAGAACTTTTGGAGATGAAGAATACAAGAAATTAGAATCTTCTTTGAAAACATGAAGAGCAGATTAGACCATGCAGAAGAAAGAATCTGACCTGGAAGACAAAGCCTCTAATTTAGTCCAAACCACCAAAAATAAAATGAGAACATACAGGAACTATCAGACACCATTAAACACCTGAATATTCATATAAAGGGTATTCCAGAAGGCAAGGAGACTAGTAAAAGTATGAAAATCTCTTTTGGGACCAGCAGGTAGTATGGTGGTTAAGCTGCTGTATTCCCCCATGGCTGACTGCAGTTGGAGTCCTGGACCTGAATGCTCTTTCTCTGGTGAGCACACATGACATATAGCAGACTCATAAAAATAATAGTAACAAATTTAAAAAGTTAAATTTTAAAAACTCAATAACTCTTTATTAAAAAATAAATGAAAAAGAGAATCTCTTCCATGAAATACTGTCTATGTTCCAGTAGTTTTCGAAAGTTTTCAGACATGCAGGACCAGGAAATACAAAAAATCAAAATACCCTTTCCAAGACAACTCAGCCAAAATGTCAAAACTCAAAGATGATAGTCTAAAAATGGCAAAAAAGAAGCATTAAATTTTACTTGTAAAGGATACCTTATCAGAAAAAAAATTTCAACCCAAAATACTATACCCAAGGACCAGCTAGCAGGTGGTGTGATTAAGGCACTGGGTCACAGATGACCAACTCCACAGTTTGTGTCCCTAAACCCAGTGGCTTGAAAATTATGCCAGGTGCCTGTGTGAGTGTGCTCAAAATCCCAAGAGGAGAGTGAAGGAGAAGGGATGGTGGCATGACGATTCCCCCAGAGTCTGATACCTCACTTTAACTTTCTTTCTGGCAGGCACATGTACCCATTGCCAGTAATGTAAAATTATGTGTATATAGTTATAGTTAAATAAAAAAATATGGCAAATTATCTTTTTTTAAACAATTATTTTAACTTTATTCATTTATTTAATTTGAGCCAGAGCAAAAGAGAGAGAACGAGCGAGAAAGCAAGCCACCAGGACCGGACTCAAACTGTGGTCGGCCATGTGGGGAGTTCAGCTTAACCACCATGCCACCTGCTGGCCCTGCAAGATTATGT